TCTTCCTGTGCCTCGTGCACGATAAGAATAAAAGCTACCCTTGAGGGCCTCCTCCTCACGTGCACTCTGCAGGGATGCCTCAGGGCCGCCTAAAACAAATAAAAAATTTTAAAAAAATGTTTTGAAAAAAGCTACCCTTGGCTGGGCGCGGTGGCTCACGCCTGTAATCCCAACACTTTGGGAGGCCAAGGCGGGCAGATCGCCTGAGGTCAGGAGTTTGAGACCAGCCTGGTCAACATGGTGAAACCCCGTCTCTACTAAAAAAGCACAAAAATTAGCTGGGCATGGTGATGCATCCTGTAATCCCAGCTACTGGGGAGGCTGAGGCAGGAGAATCGCTTGAGCCCGGCTGGCAGAGGTTGCGGTGAGCCGAGATCGTGGCACTGCACTTCAGCCTGGGCAACAGAGCAAGACTCTGTCTCAAAAAAAAAAGAGAGAAAGAAAGAAAAAGAAAAAAGCTACCCTTGAGCAAAGGCTTGCCTTGTCCTTGGCTGGTGCTGGGGAGTCATTGTCTCACTTAATCCTCAGAACAGCTTTCCAACCGTGACAGAATTGAAGTCCAGAGAAGGTTAAGTAACTTGCTCCAAGTCACACTGAGATGCAAAACCCAGGCCGACCCCAGAGCTGCACCTCAACCCTATTTCACATGACCCCTAAGCCTCAGGCTAGGGACCACAGAGCTCTGAGTTTCAGGGGCACAGGGGCGGGGGCGCCCTTAACACACACAGCTCATCCTGGCTCTTCCAGGCTCCATCCCCACACCCCATGTCCCCTCTGCTCCTACAGATCAAAACACAGCTGCAAGCCCAGACAGTGGCCGCGATGGCTGTGGGACACCAGCACAATCACCAGGTGAGGCCTGCCACTCTCAGAGCTCCCTGGGGCACGGATTGGGCATGCTCCCAGCCTGGGCAGGGGTGGCCAGTGACCCCGTGCCCTCTCCCCACAGACTGTCCTGGGTGCCTTGGAGACCATCTGGCGGCAGCAAGGGCTGCTGGGGCTGTGGCAGGGCGTTGGTGGGGCTGTGCCCCGAGTCATGGTGGGCTCAGCTGCCCAGCTGGCCACCTTCACCTCTGCCAAGGCCTGGGTGCAGAAGCAACAGGTGAGGAGCTGGGGACACCTGTGCCTACCCACAGAGACACACGGGACTGAGGGGGACCACCTGCCTCCTTCCACACGGGGAAGACTAGGGGGTGGCAACAGATGGGGCCTCTGCCCTCAGAGTTGTGACTCTGACCCTTGGTACCAGCAGGAGTGGGGGGTCAGCAGTGAACCCCAAAGCTGAGAAGGAGCTCAGGGTGGCAGGGCTGGGGGATGGCTGGAGGGGCCCCATCTGCTCCCCTTTCTGCAGCCCTTTTAGCCCCTGTGTGGTAGGAGGCCGGGAGGGCACCATGTGGGTGGGTAGAGGGCAGAGGCAGGGGTCCCCACCTGTGCCATCCCCACAGTGGCTCCCGGAGGACAGCTGGCTGGTGGCCCTGGCGGGAGGCATGATTAGCAGCATAGCCGTGGTTGTCGCCATGACCCCCTTCGATGTGGTCAGCACACGGCTATACAATCAACCGGTGGACAGAGCTGGCAGGGTGAGCAGGAGTGGGTCTAGGGGAGGATGTGGGGAGCTGGGAGCACCCCCCCAACACACACACACACACACACACACACACTCACATATGCACAGCCAGAGACATGCACACACAGGCCATGCCTGCAAACACATTAACTGGGCTTGTTTGCTGAGCTCCCATGTCCCAAGCACAGGCTGAGCACTTTCACATCTGGATTTTATCCCATCCTTAAAATCACATTCATCTTCCTGATGAGGAAACTGAGGCTCAGACAGATCAAGTGACTTGCACGAGTTCCCCCAGCTGGTAAGTGGGGGAGCCAGAACTGGAATCCAGGCCTGATCCTACAGCCTTCTCGTGGCACCGCAGCCTCACACATGTGCCCAATACAGACGTGCTGTCCATAGGGTGTGTGGGGGTGAAACTGACCCGTGTGCCGAGACGTGGTGCCAGCCACGGCCTCACGGCCCCTGTAGTAACACTCACCCCATGTGTTTCCCCAGGGCCAACTCTATGGGGGCCTCACCGACTGCATGGTGAAGATCTGGCGGCAAGAGGGACCCCTGGCGCTCTACAAGGGCCTGGCCCCCGCCTACCTGCGCCTGGGTCCCCATACTATCCTCAGCATGCTCTTCTGGGACGAGCTTCGGAAACTGGCTGGGCGGGCCCAGCACCAGGGCACCTAGACGGCGGCCCTCACTCCCACATCCTGACATGGCTCGGCACTTGGCCGGAAGTGAGGGCCTGCTCCAGCACAACTGGCTGTCCCAGGGCGGGCCATGGGCCCGGGCCTTGCCAGAGGCCCCGGGAGAGTGTGGACAGCTCTGATCCACCCAGCCCCTTGGCCCATCCAGGGCCAGAGCATCCACTCCAAGTTACCACCCATTCTATCTTCCAGACAGTTCTCTTCTTTCTCCGTACGGTGTACTGGGTCACCGCATCCCAGAGCCTTACTCAGTTATAGCAACTGCTGCAGGCATGCACACGGCATAGGCCCAGTAACTTACACACATGGGCTCACTTAGGCCTCAGACAGCAGCGCGAGGCCGGCACTTTTACCTCTTTTACCATCAGAAAGCCAAGGCTGAGAGTGGTGATGTGGCTTTGACCACAGCCACACAATTTTGAAGTGGCAGAGCCAGGACTGGAGCTTAGCCCTGCTCACCCCAGACCTATGCGCTTGACAAGTGCGTGACTGTGACAGGCCCATGGGTCCGGACTGCTCGTAGGGGTCGCTGTGCCATGGTGAGAGCTGGGGTGCACCAGGAGGCTGTGGCGTCGTCACCTGCCTTATTTGCCGGGGCATCTGTAGCAAAGAACCACATACAGGGCAACTTACAGAATAGGAATGTATTTTCTCACGGTTCTGGAGGCTGGATGCTGGAGACCAAGCTGTCAGCAGGTTGGTTTCTTCGGAGGCTTCTGTCCGTGGCTTGCAGATGCCGCCCTCTCCCTGTGTCTGCACATGGTGGTCCCTTGATGTGCGTCTGGGTCCTGATCTCCTCCTCTTATAAGGACACAAATCATGTTGGCTTAGGGCCCGCCCTCATGACCCCACTTTAATTTTTTTTTTTTTTTTGAGATGAAGTCTCGCTCTGTCACCCAAGCTGGAGTACAGTGGCATGATCTCGGTTCACTGAAACCTTGGCCTCCCAGGTTCAAGCAATTCTCCTGCCTCAGCCTCCTGAGTAGCTGGGACTACAGGTACCTGCCACCACACCCGGCTAATTTTTTTATCTTTAGTAGAGACGGGGTTTCACCATGTTGGCCAGACTGGTCTCGAACTCCTGACCTCAAGTGATCCACTGGCCTCAGCCTCCCAAAGTGCTGGGATTACAGGCATGAGCCACCTCATTTGGCCCAATTTTAACTTAATTATCTCTGTCAAGAGCCTATCTCCATATGCAGTCACATCCTGAGCTACTAGGGGGTAGGACTTCAACATGCACATTTGCAGGGGCCGTAGTTCAGCCACCATCATCTTTTTTTTTTTTTTTTTTGAGATGGAATCTCGCTCTGTTGCTCAGGCTGGAATGCAGTGGTGCAATCTCGGCTCACCACAACCTCTACCTCCCAGGTTCAAGTGATTCTCCTGCCTCAGCCTCCCGAGGTGCTGGGATTACAGGCATGCACCACCATGCCCAGCTAATTTTGTATTTTTAGTAGAGATGGGCTTTCACTGTGTTGGCCAGGCGGGTCTCGAACTCTTGACCTTGCTGCTCACCTCAGCCTCCCAAAGTGCTGGGATTACAGGCGTGAGCCACCACGCCCGGCCTCAGCCAACATCATCTAAGGGCTCTCACGGAAGGCCTCCCAGCAGCCTGCACTGTGGGCATTTGCACATATCCTGACAAGCCTGAAAGGAACTCCGAGTGCCCATTGTTCAGATGAGGGTTCTGAGGCCCGGGAAAGGGAAGCAATGTGGCAGGGCCAGCAGCAGACCCTGGGCCCTTTCTCTAGACTGAGCACCACTCCCCTTGGGTGTGCTCTCAATGCTGCACCAACCTTCGCACTGCAGAGATGGACACCAACTCCCTGGCAGGGGCAGCACTGCTGCCAAGCAGCCCCACCTGCCCTCCCAGCCACACCCCAAGTCTGTAAGGGTTGTTCCCAGGAACACCTGCTACTGCACACTCCAAACCAATAAAGTTTTATATTTTGTTTACTTCAGCGAACCCCCTCTGTGGCCAGTCTCAGTCTCCCCCATCCCTGACCCCCACCTTCTGCTCCCTCTGCCCTTTCTGTTTGTGAAAGCAGGATGGGAGCCGTATCCACCTGTTCAGCCCCGCCCTGCTGGACCCAGGTGAGGCCTGCCACCTAGTGGACCAGGGAGGAGCATCAAGAAGTGCGGCCCCGGTCTGTGGGAGGAGAAGGCTCAGGTGGGCTCGGGCTGCGGGAGATTCCACACCCGGTCAGAGCCGGACGGAAGGCTTTGGGAAGCTGGAACCAGACCTTACAAAAAGCAGGCAGAGCTGACCTCTGGCTGTGGGGGAAGAGAGCCCCAGACCTCAGGCTGAGAGGGCACCGCTGATCTCTAGCTATGGGGGGATAAAGTCCCTACTCTCAGACCCTGCGCTGAAGGAGCAGAGCCCACACTTCAGGCTGTGAGAGGAAGGACCCACACCTAAGGCTGGGCAAGACAGATGGAGCCTGGGGCTTCGAAGGGGCATTGGGTGGTCCAAGCCCTCAAGGAAGATTTTTTTCTTTCTTTCTTTTTTTTGAGACAGAGTCTTGCTCTGTTGCCCAGGCTGGAGTGCAATGGCGTGATCTCGGCTCACTGCAACCTCCGTCTCCTGGGTTCAAGCCATTCTCCTGCCTCAGCCTCCAGAGTAGCTGGGATTACAGGTGCCTGCCACCATGCCCGGCTAATTTTTTGTATTTTTAGTAGAGATGGGTTCACCATATTGGTTAGGCTGGTCTCGAACTCCCGACCTCGTGATCCCCCTGCCTCGGGCTCCCAAAGTGCTGGGATTACAGGTGTGAGCCCCTGCGCCTGGCCTCCCTCAAGGAAGATTTCAAGTAAAGTGGATGCCAGACTTTTAGCAGGGACAGAGACCACAGACCAGCCCAGAGACACCTGTCCCTTGGAGCTGGGACCTTGCCCTTCTGGGCCTCAAAGGGTTAACACCCCTGGCTCTCCTCCCCTCCCCTCCCCTCCCCTGGGCCTTTGACCCCTCCCAGCCTCTCTCCTTCCCTCCACTGACACCTTTGCCCAGTGACGTAGGTCTGTCCCTGCGCAGACCTGGCCGTTCCGGGGCTGCCATGTTCTCCCTGCCATCCCTCCCCTCCTGGCTCCCCGGCCTCCCCTCCCTCGAGTGGGGTTCTAGCCTCCTCCACTCCCTCCTGCAAGGTGAGCACCTCACCCCATTCCTGCCTTGGCCCCGCCCCCTTCCAGCTCTTTGCAGTGCAGGGTGGACCCCACCCACCTGGTCTCCCGCCACCCCTGACCCTTGGCCGCCCCCTCCTCTGACCCTACCAACCAAGCCTGCCCTCCTAACACCCCTGCATGCTGCCTCGCTGCCTTGCTGCCTCCCTCCTGCCCCCTCAGGCCTGATCGGGGCCCTTGGAGTCTTGGTCCTGAACAGCCTCCTGAAAGTTTACTTCTTCGTGGGCTGTGCCAAGTGAGTTCCCACCTCATCCCCACAGGGAATGTGGCTGGGGGTACGGGGACCCCCACCAGGGGTCGAGGGTGGCAGTTCTGCACCCCTGCCCACACCCATTCTGTCCCCACAGTGACCCGCAGCGGTGGCCCGAAAAGGAGCGGCTTCGGGCCCAGTGGGCCTCGCTGGAAACGGTGCACCTGGCAGGGCTGGCCCTGTTTCTGACGGTCGTGGGGTCCCGGGTGGCTGCCCTCGTGGTGCTCGAGTTCTCCCTCCGGGCCGTGTCCACGCTGCTGTCACTGGACAAGGTGAGGCCTCTGGGAAGGCAGTGGGTGGATCACTCCCCAGCCCAGAGCCCGGACTCACCACTGGAACGTGGGCAGCAGAGCCCAGGTCCAGCATCCCAGCCTGTTCGCTGTATTTTCCGTAAGACTGGGAACAGAGGCTGCAGGTTGCACCCTCGGGTTTGGCTGCTGAAGCGGCAACACTCACAGGGGATACAGTCCCAGTCCCAAGAAGACAAGAGCGAGAGCTCCTGTAGATCCGGCTCCCCGAATGCCAGGCCCTGCACCAAGTGCGCTGTGTGCATTATGGAATCCTCACAGCCACAGGAGTAAAGGTTTGCTCTGATTCCCCATTTCACAGATGGGGAAACTAAGGCTCAGAGAGTATGTGGCTTGTTTATGGTCAACAGGTAGAGTCAGGCTTTGGACCCAGGTCTCTGAGTCTCTGAACCACCACCCTTCAGCTAACAGATGGGCCCCAAGTACTAAGACGTGATTGGAGGCCGGGCGCGGTGGCTCACGCCTGTGATCCCAGCACTTTGGGAGGCTGAGGCGGGCAGATCACCTGAGGTTTGGATTTCAAGACAAGCCTGGCCAACATGGAGAAACCCTATCAAAACAAAAACAAAAACAAACAGATTAGCTGGGCACGGGGGCACATGCCTGTAGTCCCAGCTACTTGGGAGGCTGAGGCAGGAGAATCACTTGAACTCAGGAGGCGGAGGTTTCAGTGAGCGGAGATTGAGCTACTGCACTCCAGCCTGGGTGACAGAGCAAGACTGTCTCAAAAAAAAAAAAAAAAAAAACCACGATTGAAATTAAGGTGAGAGAGATGATCCCCTAGGGCTTCATCTGACGCCGATGTGGCCCCTTCAGGAACCATCCCCAAGGTCCCTTCAGGCTCCGGCCTCCTGTGGCGGGCAGCAGCTGTAGTGAGGCAGCCCCCACATCTTGGCCCCTCTTCTGCGCTCCCCGCAGGGCTCCCGGGGTGCTGCCGAGAGGCTGCAGCTTTACCTGCTGTGCCAGTACTCGCTGGGCTGCGGGCTGACCTGCGGCCTGAGCTTCCTGCAGGAGGGCGCCCCTCACCGCACGCTGAACCTGCTGCTGAGCCTCGGGCTGGCCACGCTGCTGGGTCTGGGTGCCCGGCGCCTCCGCCGCCACGTCTGCCGCCTCTACGAGCTGCACAGCAGCCAGCACTACTGTGGGGTGTGCCTGGGCCTGCTGGCCGGTGCGCACGGCCTCCCCCACCTGCTGGGTCGCGCCCTGGCTGTGGCCTTTGCCGTGGGTGACCTGGCAGCTGTGGCCCTCATCAACCAGGACTTCCTGACCACCTCGGAGGCCGTGCGGTTCTGGACGCCGCTCACCATCTGCTACACGCTGCTGGTCATCTACATGCAGGGTGAGCCCTGCGGGGCCCGTCCATTCTATCCACGCATATTCCTCTGTCTGGGCCAGGCTCCGGGGAGGCCGACAGCTGTCAGTCCTCACTCTTGCCATCCTAGAGAGCCTGGTCAGGACAGAGGCTGTGTGGCAGGGGCAGCGCAGAGAAGCAGCATGCTGTGGGCACGCTGAGGGGGTAGCCTTTAGATTGGGCCTTGAAGGATGAGCGGAGATCCCTAAGAGAAGTGAGGCAGGGAAGGGAATCTTGGACAGAGAGAACCGCATGTGTCAATGCCCAGAGGGGAGAGGGCATGGCAGCGCCAAACAAGCCACAGGAGTCAGTGTGGCTGTCACCCCAAGGGCACAGGGAAGGGGTGAGGCTGGCCAGGTTCAAAGGGGCCCGTTGGAGAGCCCTCATCAGCCAGGCGGGGAAGCCTGACAAGAGGCCGCTGTACAAATTTGTTTGTGTTTTTGTTTTGTTTTGCTTTTCTGTTTTTTTGAGACAGGGTCTTGCTTGGTGGCCTAGATCGTGCCATTGCGCTCCAGCCTGGGCAACAAGAGCGTAACTCCCACCTCGGCCTCCCAAATTGTGGGGATTACAGACACACACCACTGTACCAGGCTAATTTTATTTTTTGTAGAGAAGGGGTCAGCCGGGCACAGTGGCTCACGCCTATAATCTCTGCACTTTGGGAGGCTGAGACGGGCAAATCACTTGAGGTCAGGAGTTCAAGACCAGCCTACCAACATGGTAAAACCCTGCCTGTACTAAAAATACAAAATCAGCCCAGTGTGGTGGTCTGTGCCTGTAATCCAGCTACCTAGGAGGCTGAGGCACAAGAATCACTTGAACCCAGGAGGTGGAGGTTGCAGTGAGCCAGGATCAAACCACTGCACTCCAGCCTGGGCGACAGAGAGAGATTCTGTCTCAAAAGAAAGAAAAAAAAAAAAAAAAGAAAGAAAGAAAGAGAGAAAGGAAAGAAAGAAAGGGTCTTGGCCAGGCGCGGTGACTCACGCCTGTAATCCCAGCACTTTGGGAGGCCGAGGCAGGTGGATCACCTGAGGTCAGGAGTTCGAGACCAGCTTGGCCAACATGGTGAAACTCCGTCTCTACTAAAAATATAAAAATTAGCCAGGTGTGGTGGCAGGTGCCTGTAATCCCAGCTACTTGGGAGGCTGAGGCAGAATTGCTTGAACCAGGGAGGTGGAGGTTGCAGTGAGCCAACATTGCACCATTGTACTCCAGCCTGGGCAACAGGAATGAAACTCCGTCTCAAAAAAAAAAAAAAGGGGTCTTGCCACGTTGCCCAGGCAAGTCTTGAACTGTTGGGCTCAAGCAATCCACCTACCTCAGCCTCCCAAAATGTTGGGATTACAGGCATGAGCCACTGTGCCCAGCCTACTGCAGGGTTTTTCATTGTTGCTATTTTGTTTTGTTTTGGGATGGAGTCTTGCTCTGTTGCCCAGGCTGGAGTGCAGTGGCACGATCTTGGCTCACTGCAACCTCCAACTCTGAGTTCAAGCAACTCTCCTGCCTCAGCCTCCCGAATAGCTGGACTCTGTCTCGAAAAACAAACAAACAAAAAGAACGGGGCTGGGCGTGGTGGCTCACGCCTGTAATCACAACACTTTCAGAGGCTGAGGCAGACGGATCACTTGAGGTCAGGAGTTCAAAACCAGCCTGGCCAACATGGCAAAACCCCATCTCTACTAAAAATGCAAAAATTTAGCTGGGTGTGGTGGTGTGTGCCTGTAATCCCAGCTACTTGGGAGGCTGAGGCAGGAGAATCACTTGAACCTGGGAGGCGGAGGTTGCAGTGAGCCAAGATCGTGCCGCTGGACTCCACTCCAAAAAAAAAAAAAGAACAGAAGCCAGGAGTCTGGCAAAGAAACTTCTTGGAAAGAGGGAGGTGGTTAAGCCCAGGTGGGACCATGGGGGTGATGAGAGGTGCTCAGCTGGGAATGTGCTTGGCAGAAGGAGTTGCCAGGGCTAACTGAGGGACTAGAGGTGGGTGTGCAGCAAAGAGAGGAGTCAGGCCGACTCCTGCCACTGCGAGGCTGCGAGGCTGCGGGGTTCTGGCCTGCACCAGTGGGAGGCTTGTGGGCTGGGCAGTGAGTCCTGGAGGCAGAGCGCCTGGTGCCCTGCAGATACTTGGAGCAGGGGTGGGGACCAGGAGGTTGTGATGGGAGGAGGGCTGCACGGAGCAAAAGGCTTGTCCTGTGGAGGGTGGGTCAGGGAGCCGGGAGGCCCAGCGCGGGGTGTGGGGTCGGACGGTGACAGGCACCCGCATTCCACAGAGGAGCAGCGGCAGCACCCTGGCCTGAAGAGCAAAGTGCAGACGGTGCTGGTGCGCATGGGCGGCCTCTTCGTGCTGCTGCTGACCGTGGGCCGCTGGCTGGACCTGCTGGGCATCCTCATCTCCCTGCTGGGCGAGCTCTGGTGTCTGGCGGGCGTCCGCACCCTGCTTGATCTCTGCCAGATACAGGTGGGCACCCCCATCCAATGTGTCCCGCAGACAAGCCCTGCTTCAAACAGCCCAGGTGTCTCAAGAGGCTCAAGTTTAAGAAGAGCCAGCTGGGCACGGTCGCTCACACCTGTAATCCCAAATACTCAGGAGGCTGAGGCCTGAGAATCACTTGAACCCAGGAGGCAGAGGTTGCAGTGAGCCAAGATCGTGCCACTGCACTCCAGCCCGGACAACAGAGTGAGACTCTGTCTCCAAAAACAAAGACAGAGCCAGGGTGACCTCTATTGGGGGTCAGGGGCAGAGGGAGCTGGAATCACCTCTTCCACCCTCTGTCACCAGGCCAGGGCTATCCTCCAGGTCACCAGCACCCCCCACCCTGTCCACAGCCCTCTCCAGCAGCAACCTAGAGGCCCAAGTGGGAGGAAGTGCCCGGGTCACTAGAGGCCCGAGGCCCCCAGGGGGATGGGTGAATGGGTGGTGTCATTCTCAATGCCTTTCCTCAGGACTTTCCATCCCAGAGGCCTCCAGTGTCAACACCAAGCCAGCCCCTGCCCTCGGCACCCCAGTCCCAGAGTTCGGCCCCCTCCTGACCTGCCTCAGGGAGGATCTGGAGTCTGTCTCAAGCCCACCAGTCTGACCTTCGAGGCCTTGACCCCAGGGCGATGCCTGGAGGCAGAGTGGCAGGGCTGGCCCCCTGCCCGGAGCTCAACGCAGGCCCTAGGAGCCCCGAGAAGGGAAGGCAGGATTTGGCGATGGGAGCCTCTGGAGAGGGGACACCTGGGGGCCCCTGGTTGAACCCTCTTTTTCTCAGGGTGGGCAATGATGCAGCCCCTCAGACCTGCCTTCCTAGGCAGGGGCGGGGGTGCATGCTCAGGAGGGCTCCCCCTTTACTGGTCTCCCTTCCCTTCTCCATGAACAATAAAGACGATGACTTTCTCCACCTGTGCTTAGAATCACGAACACACAGAGGCCGGGCGTGGTGGCTCGTGCCTGTAATCCCAATACTTTAGGAGGCTAAGGCCGGCGGATCACCTAAGATCAGGGGTTCAAGACCAGCCTGGCCAAGATGGCGAAACCCTGTCTCTACCAAAAATACAAAAATTAGCTGAGCATGGTGGCTCATGCCTGTAATCCTAGCTACTGAGGAGGCTGAGGCAGGAGAACTGCTTGAACCCAGGAGGCGGAGGTTGCAGTGAGCCGAGATCGTGCCACCGCACTCTAACCTGGGCAACATAGCAAGACTCTGTCTCAGAAACAAAACAACAACAAAGAATAATCACAAACACAGAGAGAGGGAAAGAGGCTTTTCTGAGGCGACACAGCTCTTCTGACAGGTCCTGGGATATGTGCCTCAGGCTGGCCTAGGCGGGGTCCCCTGGGGGACATGGCTCCTTGCAGACTGAGAAAAACCATTCTGGGTAGAGAACCAGGTAGAGTGGCGAGGAGGTGAGGGGGACGGCGGGGATGGACACTTGGTCTGGCACCCACCTGCAGTCTTGGGTGGATAGCAGCCATGTCCTCTCCCGTCCCAGGCTGGGAAACAGCTGAAGGACGCGCAATGCTGACCAGGCCTCTGCTGGGTGCTCTGTGGTCCCCAGCCCCAACCCTGACTTCTTGAAGGCCATGAACATCCTTCCCATCTCAGCCTGTTCAGGGCCCAGCTCAGGAAGGCCAAAGGGTTGGGTACCAGCTCCTCTGCCTACCCTCTGTGTGATCTTGGACAAGCCACTGCCCCTCTCTGAGCCTGGCAGAAGAATGACCACTGCCATGTGCCAGGTACTTTCCCTGTTTCATTTCTTTTTGACATCAGCCCCAAGAGGCAGGCCCTGTTATCCCTTTTTACGGAGTCAGAAACTGAGGCTCACCAAGGTTAAGTGACTTGCTCAAGGGTGCACAGGCATTAAGTAGCAAAGCTAGGATTTGAATCCAGGTGGCCTGGCCCCCAGACTCAAGTGCTTTGAATGCTCCCTGCTACCCTCTCTTTGTTGAAAATCTGGGGCCAGGGAAACTAACAGAGATGAGAAATATGGCTCCATTACTGGCAGGCTCTGGAATGTGGTTGCAGCCACCTTGGCGCAAGGGAGCCCAGCCCCAGTCCCCAGGGCCCTTTGATTCTATGGGGATCCAGGGCTGCACCTCAGGGCCCTTTCCTAGAGGAAGCCCCACAGGGCAAAGGAGCCTCCCAGCCAGTGGTCTTTCCGGAGGAGGTTTGAGAGGTGTGGCGGTGGCCAGGAAGGCATTAGGGAGGAGGGGAGGCCTGGAGAGGGCACCTTGAGGATTCCAGGCTCTGATGGGTCCCTCCCTCTCGACAAAGGCACCACATTCACCCGAAGACTGCTGCTTGGGACAGGCAGGGGTGACCCAAGGATCCTTAACGCTCTACGCTCAGCGCGCCTGGGATACAGGGCAGGCTGCACCCCAGGCTGGGCCGGGTGGTTTCAGCTCATTCCCCCAAGAATGGCCACCCCTTGGACAGCTCCAGCCCACCCTTTGAACCGTGCTCCTAGCCCTACCACCAGGACAGGCCTCTCATCCCACGGTGTGGTCGCTGGGGTCGGGGAAATGCCTCTGGAATCCCCTCCCCCAATACAGGACCCAGTCCACCCGGCCTGGGAATGCGTTCTGTTCCCTCCGGGCAGGAAATGTACCCCAGTCTGGGAGGAAATGGCTCAGCTAGGTGGGCACAGGGCCAGCCCTCGCCGGACCCAGACTGGGCTCTGGGTTCCAAGCAGGGGCCAGTGTTTTTGCTGGAATGTGCTTCAGCCTCTCGATCGCTGGCACAGCCTGGGCCCCATTAGGGACAGGACCAGGAGGGGACTGGACTCAGCAGTCCTTTCCTTTTTATGGGCACAGGGATTGTTTTCCAAACAAAAATCAGGACACGTGGGCTGGAATAGCATTCTTTTCTTATCGAAGTATTTTCGTGAAAATACTGACAAGGGCATAAAATGAGCTTACTCTAAATGAGGCATTTAGCAAATCTCCACACCAAATGGAGAAAAATAGGCCTGAAGTCCAGCAGGCATAGGACAATTCAAATTGTGTGGTCTGGGCAAAGCATGAGGCTGGGACCAGTACCTCATGGGGACCCTAAGAGCCTGACCCCTGGGCTCTGACCTCCAGGACCAAGATCCTAGGGTCAGGGCAACATCGTGCTGAAGAGGTTGGGGACCAGTGTCCCTAGGCCCTGCGTAAAGTGGGTAGTGACCCCTGGGCGGCTGGGATTGGGGTAAGCTGGCCTCCCCGTCCTGAGCCCCCTACTTCTGGCTTTTCTGAGCTCTGGCATTTTCTTTCTGAGGCCTTGCATTTCTTCACCCATTCATTCATTCAGGAAGTCATCACTGAGTAGCTGCGTGGAGCCAGGCATTAGGCTGGCATTGGGCATGCTGGGAGGAGTAAGGGAGGTTCCCCTCCACAAAATGTGCAAAGAAAAGTAGGCCGGGTGCGGTGGCTCAAGCCTGTAATCCCAGCACTTTGGGAGGCCAAGACGGGTGGATCACGAGGTCAGGAGATCGAGACCATCCTGGCTAACACGGTGAAACCCCGTCTCTACTAAAAAATACAAAAAAAAACTAGCCGGGCGAGGTGGCAGGCGCCTGTAGTCCCAGCTACTCGGGAGGCTGAGGCAGGAGAATGGCGTGAACCCGGGAGGCGGAGCTTGCAGTGAGCTGAGATCCGGCCACCACACTCCAGCCTGGGTGACAGAGCGAGACTCCGTCTCAAAAAAAAAAAAAGAAAAAAAAAAGTAAAGCCGGAGGCTGGGTGTGGTGGCTCAAGCCTGTAATCCCAGCATTTCGGGAGGCTGAGGCGGGTGGATCGCCTGAGGCCAGGAGTTCGAGACCAGCCTGACCAACATGGAGAAACACCGGATCTACTAAAAATACAAAATTAGCTGGGTGTGGTGGCGCATACCTGTTATTCCAGCTACTCGGGAGGCTGAGGCAGGAGAATTGCTTGAACCCGGGAGGCGGAAGTTGTAGTGAACTGGGATCATGCCACTGTACTTCAGCCGGACATCAGAGTGAGACTCTGTCTCAAAACAAACAAACAAAATTAAAGCCGGGTCAGGGGACAGAATGACGACGGGGGGTGGGTGGGGCGGGCAGGAGTGAGAAGGTGTATTTGTTATCTACAGCTGCGTCACAAATTACCCCCAAACTTGAAGAGTTTAAAACAACAGACATCGATCGTCTTGCTCTTTCTGTGGGTCAGGGATCTGGGTGCTGCTGAGCCAGGTCCTATGTCTCAGGGCTGCTGTCAAGGTGTCACCGAGGCTGTGGAGTCATCTTAAGGCCCAGGGCCTCCCTTCTTCCTTGCCACTTGGGCCTCCTGCAGGGTAGCCCTACAGGGTGGCAGCTGGCTTTCCTCAGAGCCGGCCAGGGACAGGGGTGGAGGAGAGGCAAGCTCACGCTGCTGCGCTCTTTTTGTCTCAATGCTGAAAGTGACATCCTATTGTTTTGGTCACAATCTATCGCTGAGGAGAGGTCCCCAGGTCCCACCCACCCGAGGGGAGGGCATGGATCCCAGGAGGTGGGGATCCTGGGGACATCTCAGAAGCTGCCATCCACGGAGGGCTCCTGTGAGGAGGGGGCATTGGAGCAGAGACCTGAACAGAGTCAGGGGACAACCAAGCAAACAGCAGAGGGAAGAACTTCCCAGCTCAGCTAGGGCCTTGTGGCAGGAACAGGCCAGGGGATCTAGGAAGGTGGTAGAGCAGGGCACAGTGGCACACGCCTGTAATCCCAGCACTTTGGGAGGCTGAGGTGGGTGGATCACAAGGTCAGGAATTCAAGACCAGCCTGGCCAAGATGGTGAAACCCCGTCTCTACTAAAGATACCAAAATTAGCCAGGCGTGGTGGCGGGTGCCTGTAATCCCAGCTACTTGGGAGGCTGAGGCAGAGAATTGCTTGAACCCAGGAGCGAAGGTTGCAGTGAGCCCAGATCGCACCACTGCACTCCAGCCTGGGTGACAGAGCCCGAGAGGGTGGAGCGGCAGGGCCTGGAGCGCTGGGCAAGGCTTTGGATTGCGTTGCCCTGAGGGGAGCCAGTGGAGGGTTTCGCACGAGGACATGACAGAAGCTGATGTACATCTTGAGAGGAGTCCTCTCGTGGCTGTTTTCAGAATAGTTTGGAAGCATTTGGAATAACCCAGGTGAGAAGACAGGCATTCCCAGGCCAAGGGGGTGGTATTGAAGCCCTGGCAGGTTTCAAGGCTTCAGAGTTGCCTGAGGGACTGAGGAGGGGTGAGTGCCGCTGCAGCAGAGCGGGTGAGGGGTACAGTGGTGGGAGATGCTGTCTCAGGGGTGGGTTGGGGTGGGATCACACAGGGCCAGGGTGAGGGGCTTGGTGTTGTCCCGGAGAGCAATGGGGAGCCACAGAGGGCTATGCACAGAAGGGTGTTAGATGCTGCTTTAGTGAGGTGTTCTGGCTACTGTGAGAAGAGGGGATTGTAAAGAATAAGAGTGAGGCATATGGGCCAGGTGTAGTGGCTCACGCCTGTAATCCCAACACTTTGGGAGGCCAAGACAGGAGGATTTCGTGAGCCCAGGAGTTCAAGGCCAGTCTGGGCAACATAGTGAGACCTCATCTCTACAAATAATAAAAAACATTACACTTTGGGAGGTTGAGGCAGGTAGATCACGAGGTCAGGAGTTTGAGACCATCCTGGCTAACATGGTGAAACCCCATCTCTACTAAAAATACAAAAAACTAGCTGGGTGTGGTGGTGGGTGCCTGTAATCTCAGCTACTCAGGAGGCTGAGGCAGGAGAATGGCGTGAACCCGGGAGGCGGAGCTTGCGCCACTGCACTCCAGCCTAGGTGACAGAGCGAGACTCCATCTCAAAAAATAAATAAATAAATAAATAAATAAATAAAAGAGCTGGGCATACTGGCATGTGCCTGTACTCTCAGCTGCTCAGGAGGCTGAGGTGGGAGGAT